CAGCACGTCTCGCCGCGGTGGCCGTCGCAGCTCGCAGTGCCGACCCGGCACGGCTCTAAAAAAGCATCGGTTGTCGCAGCTCTGGAATTGCTAGTTCCAGCAAAAATAGATGCCGGTTGAAGCAAAACTGCTCGCCGGTTGTATCAAAAATGGCTTGCCAATCCCAACGAAGAAATTCCGTACTCGCATCCATGAGAAATCGCTGGTTCCAGCAAAAATGTCTGATAGTTCCAGCAAAAACAAATGGCTGGTTGAAGCAAAAAACAGAGTTGCAGGACTCACATGAAGATGAATGTAGCAAAAATCCACAAACACCGGGTAGTAACAAAAATCAAAACGGTTGTAGCAAAATGGTTCACCGGTTCCAGCAAAAATCACCGTGGTAGCAAGTTTGGGATGCTGGGGTGGTAGCAAAAACATCGGCTGGTTCCAGCAAAAACAAAACATGGTTGTAGCAAAAATCCTGCCACGCCGACCTTGGAGAGCAGCGCACCCAGCTGCGGGTGGCCATGGCGACAAGCGCTGCAGCACTGTCGTGATTGCTGCAACCCACTCAGCTCCGGCCACCGCTCGCAGCAACGGGTGGCTCAGTTCCCAGCAGGCAACGACCGCTCCTCACCCCTGTAGTAACTCCGACCACCACTCGGCGGAGTAGCAGAACCCTGCAGTAACTCCGGCCACCGCTCGCCGGAGCAACAGATCACCAGGATCTGAAAAAATGAAGGATGTGGTGCTGAGGGCTTGTTTAGAGAGATGATGGGGAATAGATGAGGATTACGCCGGAAAGGAAGAAAAGTAATGGACAGAAAGAAATAAGACACTAGACGTGGTCCCACCAGGTTACGTGTCGCCTGTATATGAAAACGTAGCGAGCGCGTGGGTGAGGCACCGGCCGAAGCTTCAGCCGGCCTGCCGATTCCAAACGTTTCCCATAAAAAAGACGTCTAGAGCAGTCTTGGGGTGGCGGTTGAGAAACCAACCGCCCCATGCTGATTTTTTTGCCGGCGTTTCTACAACAAGATAGACAAATGAACTGGAAGTTTCCGGGGTACTTGCAAGGCTGAGGAAGAAATTGGTTATTCCTAAACGTGTATTGCAGATTGATACTATCGATTCACATGTACGTTTGAGGCTCAAATCCAACACTTGAGAATACGTTTGCATCTGCATCATGGATACCTTTCACAGGCTAAGGCCTCTTTTAGTTCATAGGATAGGATTATCATAAGAATAGGAATCTGCATCATGGATACCTTTCACAGGCTAAGGCCTCTTTTAGTTCATAAGATAGGATTATCATAGGAATAGGAATCTTGTAGGAAATGAGATGACATGTATCTCAAATCCTATGAGTAGGAATAGGAAACAAGATGTCATTTGATTAACACCAAAAAAAAAATTCCATTGAGTCTAGACTTTCTTTTATTTTCCTATAAAATGTGAAGGATAAAAACCAATCCTATGTAGGAATAGGAATTCATTCCTATGAACCAAAGGGCTCTAAAGGAAAAAATCCTATAAAAATCATTTCCTCTAGAATTCCTATGAAATTCCTCTTTGAACTCTGCCACAGACAGGTTGGATATGAGAACCAACAACAAAAAAAACATCCAAAATTGTTCTTCAGACCATAATAAGAACACATCTTTTTTTCTGAAGAACACACCTGTTGGTTCAGATGATACTGATTATATTTGAGACCATAATAGGATATGTCCTTGAGAAAATGGACGATGCTGCATTTCTTCAGAGATGAATTGTGGAACAGACCCTTAATATAAGGGATGCAAAAATAGAAATGCATTTGAATCAACTGACATGTCTGTAGATGATAATTCAAACAGGAAACTTAACTGCCTTGTTGCAACAGACATTAATAAATAAACGAATTGCCGTTGCACTTCTGCTTATTCTCATAAGATTTGTGACAAGTGGGCCTTTTAAGTCCAATGCATCGAAACTATTGTAAATTACAGAGCTTTAACATATGTTAAATGACTAATCACAACCCATGAACAAACTAAAAAAAGAAGAGCAATACTTAACAGCCAAAATACCAGAGGTAGGCAATGGTAAATGGTGAACACACACAAATCTGATGGCCAAACCACAAGGCAGCACCATACTCCACACTAGCAATCACACTGCCACTGTCCACAGCAAGGTAACTGGATATATTCACAACTAAACCAAAATTACCACCACAAGGTAAGCAATGGTGAACACACACAAAACTGATGGCTAAACCACAGGGCAGCACTAGCCACTATGCTCCACACTAGCAATCATCGCACTGCCACTGTCCACAACAAGGAAACTAGATATACTCACATATTCAACCAAAATTACCACCACAGGTAGGCAAAGCAATGGACCAATGGTGAATGGTGAACACACACAAAACTGATGATAAACCAAAAGGCAGCACTATGATCCACACTAGCGATCATCACACTGCCACTGTCTAAAGCAAGGTAACCGGGTATATTCACAGTTTCAGACACATCTAGGTATGAAATAACACATATCTAGAACAAACCAACCACACGATCTCTTGGAATGAACTGAATTCTACTTGCAAGTGACAAAGATCACACTACCTCAACAATAAACACATGACAAACAGCAATAGCAAAATATCTATGGGCTAGTAAAACCTGCAAGAACACATGTATCAACAAGATACATGTTCTACGATCTTATCACCATCAGAACAACAAAGCATAAAAAATGATAGCCGACATGAAATAGATTAACGTCATCAGAATGACCAAAATTTAAGCCCACATCGCATATCAGTAATATCCAGGAAAGATAACATAATACTCCAAGGTTTCAGTTTTCAAAGACAAACGGGACACATATAAATGAGTTCAATTTGAAGAGCAATCGCAAGCCACCTCTAAGCCTTCTGGTTGTAGACGTAGGTGAGGCCGCACTTGCCGCAGTAGTGGCGGTCGAAGTGGTTTGCCATGAAGGTCCCGGCGCCGCACTCAGCGTTGGGGCACTCCTTCCTGAGCCTGGTGACCTTACCAGTGGCGTCGTCGACCTTGTAGAACTGGAGGACGGCGAGCTTCACCTTCTTGTGCTTGTGCTTTTGCTTCTTGGGCTTGGTGTACGTCTTCTTCTTGCGCTTCTTGGCGCCACCGCGGAGGCGGAGCACCAGGTGGAGGGTGGACTCCTTCTGGATGTTGTAGTCGGCGAGGGTGCGGCCGTCCTCGAGCTGCTTGCCGGCGAAGATGAGGCGCTGCTGGTCCGGCGGGATCCCCTCCTTGTCCTGGATCTTGGCCTTGACGTTGTCGATGGTGTCCGAGGACTCCACCTCCAGCGTGATGGTCTTGCCCGTCAGGGTCTTCACGAAGATCTGCATCTTGGCGAAGGCGGGGTGGTCGCCTCCGCGCGCTGCGGCGGCGACGGCAGTGGCGGCGGCGGGGTTGGGTTTGGGCTGGGCGGCGGGGTGGAATGGAGGCTAGGGTATGGAAGGGTCTGGCGTTATATAAGTATAAGTAGGCGGGAGAATATAAGCTGTTGGATCTAGGGGTTCCAGATCGGACGGCTGGCTTTCGTGGACGCTATTTTGGGCTTGGCTGGATAGGATCGATTTTGCTTGTGGCCCATGGTTCGTGTAAATTGCCAAAAAAAAGTGTAAATTCCAATTAGTAGTGTACGTTATTTTTATGTAGGAATAAACGTGTAAATTTGTATCTTGTCCAAAAAAAGAATTGGCATCACAATTAAAATATATGAATAAGCAAGACGCTAGAGATTTTTTTGTGCGAAAAGGATCAAATCTATTATAAAGATTCACCAAAAGTACAAAGCGCCTCAAACATAATAAAATTTTCATTGAGGTTCATGGACCACCGAACGACCATTGCCGCTACCAGAACGACCCGCCGACGCGCCGCTATCGTCGCTCCCATACCGGAGCCGGCCCGACCTTATCGACGACAACCGGGGAGTCTTCATGCACGTGTCCCTAAGGACCAGCGCCCTGAAGCCGCATTCGTCATCGCTGAATCCGTCAATCGATCTGAAGAACCTGACACCAAATATCGTCGCTACGTACGCACGACGAGAAACTCTAACCTCACCGCCCCAAGGAGCTGATAGGAATCTACACCGAAGCTTCGTCTAATCCGTCCCAACGAACGAACTAGAGGAGGATCGGAACCCGAAAGACTGACTCGAAGAAGGAGCGCCGCCATCCGTCCAAACACCGCCCCTACAAGGACTAAAACCATACACATCTACTAGCTGGAGTCGAGACACCATGATTCTCCTCCCCACCACCGGCCGCCGGAGCGGCAGGCGGAGGGAAAGCGAATCAACAGGCTCGCCGGCGAAGATCGAGAGGAGGAAGGGTTTCCCAAGTCACCTTAGGAGAGAGGGAAAAAATGGAACATTGGTTAAAAGAAAATTAAAACTCATCCAATTCAGATATTAAAATGAAAAATCTATCATCAAGAAGAATTTTTTGTATAAGAGACACATAGTGCCCAAATAGAAAACTCAACAAGCTCCTGGGGCACTGGGTCGATACAGAGTATAGCAAAAACATGTTACACCGAAGGATTAAAATACTCCCTCTCCCGGTTTATTTGTCGCATAAATGAATAGAAATTAATGTATCTATAACTAAAAATACATTTAGATACATCCATTTCTGCGATAAGTAATTCGGGACAGAAGGAGTAGTTCTTTAAGGATTGAAAATGAATCAATCTCTCATCAGCAATACTTCTCAGTTAAGGATGAAAAGGCTGGACGTGGAGTATTTGCTCCGAGCTCAAATGTACCCCGATGAAGAGTAAAATAATAAAAATCCAAAAAATAATAAGAATATTCAAAAAGAATCTATTTTTTTGTGATAGCCGTACGCAGGGCCGGTCCTGAGATTTTGGGGACCCGGGGCGAACCTAAAATCCGGGGCCCTTAGTAAACACATCATAGTAGTAAAAATAAATGTATGTATATATGAATATTTAGCAATAAAACTTCAATGCATTCAAAATCAGTGTGCGTATCAAATAATTTATACATAATACCTTAAAAAATTCTTCTAACATTTCTCGATGCAAAGTCGCTTATGATGGGGTCGATGTCAATCCCATCCAATAATTTCTTCTCGATGCATGATGTAGCCAAACCATTTAACCTCTCTTGAGTCATTGTTGACCTCAAATAATTCTTCAACAATTTCAGCTTTGAAAAGCTTCTTTCAGCCGATGCGACCGTCACAGGCACAGTAAATAAGATGCGATAAGCAATGAAGATATTTGGATAACAATCAACTTCTCTGACATGCCCAAAAATCTCCATGGCAGACATTACGCCATTTGGCAAAGTGAATCTCATAATCTTCAATTCAGAAATAAGATCATATACCTCTACATCAGATGAACCAATGATATAATCCATCATGTGCTAAGGAACTCTGACTCCTGCTACTGCTAGACTTGAAGATCTTACAACAAAAGCAAAAAACTTTGTCAACACCTTCTGAATAAACTAGCCATTTTCTATCATGTTTCTCTCCATTGCTTAATTTCCTATGATAATGAACATAGGAAAAATGCCTTCCTGCATCATCTACACGGTATTCCATTTTATCCTCTTCCTCTCTCATTGGCCCTTTCTCAAATAATACATCTCTTGCTTTATTGTCAAGATTATCCCAAATTCTTGGATCATAAATATCAGGAGTATAGACTGGTTCATCAACACTAGGAGACTGTCCTTGTGCATCCGATGAATTACCTATATTCTCGGAGCCACTTACATTGTTGTTGTCGATGTTGGTGTCGGCATTTTCTTCTTGCTGATCGGATTCTGAATTCACATTATTTTGTTGCTTTTCCTCTATGGCAACTATCGCCAACTCATCACCTCGGTTTATCGAAGTAGCGGAAGTACGCTTGAAATATCTGTGCACATGTCCATGTTGTGATTGTACCAATTTATCTGCAGCCTTCTTCTTTTTCCTTTTTTTGCTACCTGATGCATACTTCCTATTTCTCGGAGGCATGCTAAAACACAATCCTGAAAAAGTAATTTTTGCATCAATTATTGAACAGTACCACATACGCATCAAGGGACGGCCAAACACAAATATAGTATACCTGGTTCTGATGATCTGAATTCTGATAGCGTCAGTCCGAGTGCTGTTTGCAGCGCCTAGACTCGGAGAGCAATGAGCAATTGACCAAGACTGAGGGCCCCCTGAATTGAAATTAGCTGTGAACTGTATTAGGAAGGGGATTAGGAAAAGAGAATTAAAAATTAGCAAGAGGCATATGGCAGTCGGCAGCCCTGCAGTACGGCGCGTCGGCGACGGCGGGCGGCGGCCTAGGGCTGGGAGCCTGCGTGATGAGACGGGTCGAACTGTCGAGAATCGACAGGATCATGATCGGCCTTTTTTTTCTAGGTGAAGCTGTGAAAGGATAGCATATTGTTGTCTTTTTTTTAACATGGAGGACGACGAAGGAAAGCGATTGCTAATCAAGCCGCGCATGTCGCTAATCCTGCCGCTGCGGCTCGTTTCGCTTGCGAGCCTGTGCGTGTGCGTGAAAGGCTGATGAAAGGCCTCGCCTTTGGCTATTTTGTTTGACATGGGCCTACAGCCTGCTATACGTATATACCTTGTACATACCTGGTTGGGGGCCCCTACCTTGTGGGGGCCCGGGGCGGCCGCCCCCCTGCCCCTCCCCAGGGCCGGCCCTGGCCGTACGGACGACGGATGGCACGGGCCTGCTCCCTCGTGTGTCATGCCGTCTTCGTCTTGCACTCCTCCCTCGCGAGGCACTTGGAAGCCTTGAGCGCGAGGCGGAGCGCCTCGCATCGGACTCCGCCTCATGAGTTCCACTGTCAATAAACGTGTAAATTCCATTTAGTAGTGTAAATTATTTTTATATAGGAATAAATGTGTAAATTTGGTATCTTGTCCAAAAAAGGAATTGACATCAACATTTAAAAATACGAATAAGCAAAACTCTAGAGATTGATTTGCTACATGAACATTGGTTACTTTCGCAAAAAATTGAACATTGGTTAAAAAAAATCAAAACTCATCCAATTCGGATATTAAAATGCAGTTTTGTTAAAGTACATCTAGATGTGCTCTAAGTATTGCACATCTAAGTTTTATGTCATTGATTTTACGCTAAGATTCATGCAAGAATTTCTTTTGTCTTTTTTCCTTTTCTTTCTAGTTTGATTGACTCACTTAACGCTCTATCACCAGGAAGCTTTTTTTTGGTATAGAAGAAATACATAGTGCCCAAATAGAAATTAACAAGTTATAGGTCCTGGGGCACCGGGCCGATACAGAGTACAACAAAAACTGGGTTCCTCAAGAAGGATTGAAAATACAGTAGTTCTTTAATTAAGGATTGAAAATGAATCAAAAATTTCATACTTCTCAGTTAAGGGTGAAAATTCTCTGTGTTCCGGGTGCCTTTTGAAGCACACACAATTCCAGTCATGAGCTTCTCTGTAAGAATGTTTAGCACCGCACCCCTTTTTTCTGCAGAACAGTCCAAGAATCCAGTGTAGAGCATAGAGTAAAAATTACATCAATAGGATCTCTAGGTAGAAGGCTTTGAAAACAAGATTTATTTCTCGTTTTCCATATAGACCAAAGTAAGGCAGCAATAGCAACAGAAAACAATGGCACGATCTTTATCTATCAACATTCAGACACATCACTTACTAATAATGCAGATCAAGGGTCGTAAGGAAATGACGACCAATTAATCCAGAGATACATGGGTACAGACCAGAGATACTACATGAGTGCAACCACCAAATCAGAAAAAACAGAGATAACATGACTAAAAATACAGACTTAAAGATACTGAAGGAGAGCACATGAGTTCAACCACCAAACCAGCAAAAAACAGAGTTAATGACTATGAATAGGGACTGAAGGAGAGTACAGATCAGTTACTGAGGTGAAAAGCATCGCAACAGAGTTTATTGCAGAGGAAGATACATGGAAATTTTCAACGGAAAAGTTTCTGGAGATGGTTTTTCACGACACTGTTCTTTGTGTGTTCCGTGATGTTCCATATGAGGGTCGTGAGCTCGCCACCGCAGCTGAGTCGCTTGGCATGAGAATCCCTGCTGCACCACATGGACGCAAACATGAGCAGACGCACCCACGATTCCAAGATGAACTTCAACATGTCTTTCATATCCCAGTGTTCAGGTCCTTTCACCATACCTGCAATTTCTTTGCTGGGAAGTTTCTGCAAATCTGGAATCCAGTGTTCAAGTCCTTTCACCATATCTGCGACTTCCTTGTTAATTTTGCTTTCTCCACCCTTGGACGGTTAGCCTAGCAACTTCCAAGCAAGTTCAGTTCCTGCC